ACAGATATAAAACCCTTCCCTACTTCTTTTACATCCTCTTGGCATATTTTATTCCGATTAAATATAAATCGATTAAACACTTCAGTTTCGAAGTATTTGCCCGAAGTTGTATAAATTTTCAAATTGAATACAATTTACTAGTATTACGTCCGATATTAATGTCGGTTTGTAATGAAATTATTTTCCACAATGAAAACGGAGGAAAGGCCGTTCCATACATATGAACTTTACTTCAATCAAATTGTAAAGCGTAGCAACGATTTGTCCATTACCAAACGAAGATGCTCTCTTTTGATATGTGGCAGTAATACGAAAGGGGCGATGTGAAAATTTTGTTTTTATCTGGAAAAGTAATTTTCAATTCGGTGCATAGAGATAGACAGTAGACACCTGTAATGTTGATAGAGAAAATATACTAAAGACGAGATAATACCCGATTGTTTATTGTAAGATGGTTTCATATTATAATGGAGAAACTAGCTGCATGTGTACGGTTCTTCGCGCAAGGTGTCCGCAATGGTGCATCGGTTTGATAATGGTAAAAAATAATGTTTACCTGAATGATGTATAATCCCGCACCCATGTATATCTGTAATACAGTGAATAGAATGGGAAAACAAAACGGATCTTGTTGGTGGTTTGTGAAAGCCGTGAAATGGATACCAGTTATTTTCATCTTGACGGTAGTAATGTGGTCGTATTATGCTTATGTGGTGCAGTTATGTTTTTGTAAGTGTCTTCTAAACTTTTCGTTCAAATCATTTTTAATAACAGAGATTTTCGAAATTATGGTATTTCTCTTCAACTTTCATATTCATTTTTCTATGTGTCCTTTCTAGATACTGTAGATAATTATGTCCAAAAAGGTGCGTATAATTATAATTTTCTACGAAGACTATATCTCTTAATATTATTTTAACTTTAATATCGTTTCTTTGTTTACAGCATTTTATTTGTTCATTTATCATATCCTCTTTCTACTATTTTTATGGTCCTATTGGCAGACCATATTTACAGATTTAATCGAAATACCCGACAAGGTAAGATCTGCATAACAATCATTTATTTTACAAGACTATCGATAGAGAATAAAGATATTATGTTTCTTATAGTTCAAAATACCAGATGTAGAAATGGGAAAAGTTCAACAAGCAGAGACGGAAGAAGCACAGAGACAAATTTTAGAAAGATTTGCACAAGATCTTCCAGTTACTAATCGTACTATGAAAGGAGGCATGCCATTTATTTATTGACAATTCTGTTTCTATTAAAAATGCAAATGTCTTATATAACATATAATTATTTTCTTTTTAGTAATACGTTTTTGTGAAAAATGTCAGTTAATTAAGCCAGATAGAGCACACCATTGTAGTGTGTGTAATACATGTATTTTGAAAATGGATCATCATTGTCCATGGGTGAACAACTGTGTAGGTTTTCACAATTACAAATTCTTCATGTTGTTTATGGCATATGCACTTCTTTATTGTATATTCATTACTGTTACATCTTTACAGTACTTTATACGTTTTTGGAAAGTAAGTATAGCTTCTACATATTATTCTTTTTAATATGATATAACTTCCTGTTTCAAACATGATTTATCATTCTTGTACTAACAGAAATTGTTCTTTTTACAGGGGGAATTGGATGGAGTGGGTAGATTTCATCTACTGTTCTTATTCTTTGTCGCACTGATATTTGCAATTAGTTTAAATTCCCTTTTCCTCTATCATTGCTACCTTGTTTTACACAATAGATCTACGTTAGGTAAATTGAAAGCATGTTTTATACGATTGTTCATCTCATAGAATATCTACATTGATTTGTGATACATTTGTAGAGGCCTTTACACCACCTATGTTCAGCACAGGGAAGGATAAAGATGGTTTTAGCCTTGGAAAATACAATAATTTCCAAGAAGTATTTGGTGATAATCCTAAGCTATGGTTCCTTCCTGTTTTCACTAGGTACGTCCAACAGTATTTAGCTATTTACACCCATAATTTATATTATTTAGTTTAACAGTCTAATATCGATGATTTCCTATCGAAACTGTGAACCATTTGCACAATATATAAATGTGAAGAATATGTAGCACAACTATTGTAATTATGTAGTAATTACAATTCATACTTGTATACTAAGTAAAAGAGCATGCGAATGCTGATATACATATATATGTATGTATATACAATACAACATCGTAAATTGATTCATATCGATATCACGTATATCAGAAAATTGTTATCTTATTATTAAATGTCATCTTGCATAGAAAATAGAATCTAGCAATATTCGAAAGATTCCACCTATAGCACTGTCTGTCGTACTGTATGCTTTGTTTATGTATGTATCTTTAAATTAAGCAACTATAGTAGTGTATACGTTCGCAAAAAAGCAAGCTATCATTTCATAGATAACATATAAATTTGAAGAAAATGGGAAAAATAGATCGTACGAACTGCCTTAAAAATCAAACGAATTCAACGTGAAGAATAAAAATTTGATATTTATCAACCATGCGTGTCGAGATTTATATTATTTTTCGTGATTTCAATTGATTATATTAGATCTTTCATGAATTAAGTACATAAATACAATAGTAGTTGTATCACCGTTAAAACGCGATGGATACGTTGAATGTGTTTTAGTCTTGGAAACGGTGTCACCTTTCCGGTACGTGCGCAACATCAAGGCACACCCAATACTTACGACTCCATGGGCAGTACTCGAAACAGGTCAGCAATATAGAAATCTACGTGCCAATAGAATGATAGCTACATACGAGCCTTACTATGGAACTCCTTAATATTCTTGATTAAAAGGCAGTTGTATCGAAATAAGTAACGTATTGTTACATTTAAAGAATATCTGGATGAACAAAAAGGGGGAACATTTTCTTCATATTTTTTTAGATTCATACTCCTCTTCTCCAGAGCATTGTCTTTTTTTTCTTATCATTTATTTTATACAGAGTTCCAGAGTAATGAAGTTAGATATATGTGTTTGCTTTGTGGATGCATGCAATCATTTCATTTGTGCTTTTATTTTATTATAAAATCTATAATGTTATATTTATTATTCATCAACGTTGAGAATAATATACAAATGGCGAAATTATAATTCTGGTGCTAGGTCTGTTCGTATCTAACAGCCTTTCTTAATTGTTGATTACATGTGTGTTTCTTAAGTTGTTGAAATGTGTTGTGAATTCTAGTCGATGTAACATTAACTCCATCTGATAAATTGTAGAATCGTTACTCATACGGTATTCACGAACAATAATAAATATTGTTTATAGTGATCGTACATTGAATTGTTAAAATCGATGATATTTATACGACTACCTACAATAAGATTAAATCTGTATCTTGTATTTAATCTACAGATAATCATTAATTGAGATGGACTTTGAAATAGGTATCAGTTTTATTTTAAACTCATAATTTAAGAAGTGCATGCTGTTTGTAGTTGCATCGTATTGTCTATCGATAAAAAATTACATTATTCGTCAGTATAATTTCCTTACTATTTCAAAAAGTATTGTGCATTTGGTTCTTACAGATTAATATTTATTTGATTGTAAGAAGTGGCGTAACTATATTCAACATTACTTTCTTCTTTTTATATACTTTCCTTTTACTTTATAAATAACGAATTCGGGAATAGACGTACGAAAACAAGAGAATCTATGTTAAAAGTATTGAGAGAGGGTAACTATAAATGCAAGTAGTTACGCTACCTCTGAGTATAAGTGGGATTACATCAAGTAGAAGGTAGGGTGTGGGTTACAGTTTTGGCGATGGGGTAAACTTTCCTGAACGGCTGTGCAATGAAGACACACATACTCTGTTGGGACCTACTACCCAACAGTGGGGTGATGAGACCGAGCTTGACTCTCCACCTCTCTATGGGTCGCAATCAGGTATCGTGTAGTCTGTGAATCCCTAATTGAGGCGATGCGGTAGACCTACATGCATTGCCCGAGAATAGGTAGTACTTCTGGTACAAAACTCATGTTAGCCATATGTACATACTCTTTGTGCTAGATGTACGAACAGAATACATATTACTCGACTACATGAGTGATTCTACATACTGATACTACTACTACTACTAGCTCATACTTTTGACCATTTTTTTCTTACAAATAGGTTGTAATAGTTATTGCTTTATTAAAGAAGAGATGGAGTATTTATTCTCTAAAATACTTCTAATAAATAGGAATAAAAACTGGGAGTACTTTAAACCTGTATTTAATGTAAACTCTTTATTTGTATGACATCATTTTTAAAATAGTAATTGACTAAGAATGTTATGGCATCAAATGAATCGTTCTAAGAGTACGATTTAATAAAGAGTTTACCATGAAATTGTATTTGATGTACGTAAAAAACATTTAATTGCTAATTTAATGTAATAATAATAGTCGATACATGACGATTATGCTTAAAAGTAACGATAAAAGGAATACGTAGTGAACGATGCATTTTTTTATAATGATTAGTACATAAATGTACAATTTGTACAATAAAATATTTAGAGAATTATGCTTAAAAGATGAATGAAGATTGTATAAATTGTATATTAATTTTATGTTATCACATTTGTTATTTATGCATTTACTGATTTATAGAATATGTGTGATATTCTTCTTATGATATAAATATATGTAAATTTCATTGTCTATATTACTAATTACAGAACACTGTAATAAAGAACAAAGAAAAATAAATTGATAAAATCAGAGCATCTCATGTATTTATAATGTACGAAATACTGGAACTTCAATTCTTTTTTTATTGAGAATTATTTCCGTAGTCGCATGCATGTCCAACTACAAACAATTCACTTACAAGAACTTATTATAAGTAGTTGTATAATTCGTTATAAAAACTCAACAGGCTGTAGTTGCATGAATGGTTCCTTTTTTTTATTAACTATCCTTCTATTGTATTTCGTGATGATAATGTATTTTTAATAACTTAATAACATTAATCCAGAGAGAAGCATGCTATTTACACTTTGAAATAAGTCTATCACTTTCTTCATACGGCAAGCATAATAATTAAATTATTTCATTCATTACAGTTTTGTACTTAACGCCAGTGTGTCTATATATCACTATATATTCAACTAATTCAGTAATTAGGTTGAGTTTTTGGCTACAGGTCCACCATTGATCAAATGACATTGGTACAAGAAGCTACAATTTTGGCACTTGGCACTGGGTAATGTTAAGTGGCTGTTTAAAAGTGTGTCTGACTCTGTTCAAACTTTCATGATTGAGATCTATCACCTCGCATAAAATAACTACAAGCCCTTTACAGTTCCATTATGAAATCAGAAATATATTCATTTTGTACATGATCTGTATTTAACTTATCATACTGTTATTAATACTTGCAATTTTTATCATGAATCACATGTTTCATATGTCATCATTCTCTGCATCAATTTTTAATGTATCAAAACACGTATATCAAAGGTAATTGCATACTTACATGCTGAATCCTGTATAGCATAATTAAATTTTGTATTACTGCATGTCTAAAGCCTCTTTTTATTTATAAACTCTAACATTGAATGCTTTTTCATGCAGGCAAAATACGCAATGTAATGTAATGGCTTTTTGTGAAATCATGCAGCATAACTATTTGCGTTCATCGATACTAAATCTTGTCAATGTTCATCCAAATAAATTTTCGCATATTTCTTATAATGTATTAGTACTTAATATTACAATTTTGAGATGCATTAATTTTCTTTTAATATTTTACAGCACTGCTGTGATAGGTCCTGCAGCTGATGCCAATCAACCTTTGGTGGATGCAACTGAAGTTGTTTAGAACAACATATATTTTTAATTGATTTTCGTATTTTTATGATAAAAGAATGTTTTTCTTTAATTAACATAGATTGTTCTCGAGGTCGTCGTATAATTCCTTGGCATCCACAGTTCTAATCTCATTAGTGGTGGAAACGAACTACTTAAGTAACATTATGCTCAATTAATTCTCAATAGAAAGATGCGAAGGATTACTATTTAGACGATATTAACTGCTGTGTATTAGCTCTTACAGATCCCTATACATTAATACATGTCGTCAAAATTATTGACAGGAAATAGAATACAAATTAATCTGCACAACATTTTTGAGACTATATATATATGCAGCATGTATAACATGTTATTATTATTGTTACTGTCACAATCGTAATTTTCAGTGATAAACTTTAAAATACTGATGAAAAGTGTTATGTAACAATACAGGAAATCGGCATAATTAAAAGAAAACTATTGCCCTAAATATAATGCTTTCATTCAAGAGTATGAATCAAAGGTATTGTAAAATAATAGATACTTGCCTTCGGGCAACTACCGCGCCCTTTGAATGTTATCGGTTTTAAATAGAGAATATATCAAAAGAATCAATATTTTAACATATTCGCCAGAAAATGGGATATTAAAGAATAAAATTGTTCTCACTGAATAAAATATATTTTAGCTATGTCTGGTGTAAATCCTATGTAATATTCCATTTATAATATGGTTTTTAGTCAAATGATTATGCTCTACGAAATCAAAAAAGAAGTTAGTAAATCGTATTGCTACTCAAAAGTTTAAAGCATGTCACGACAAAAGCAACTAATGTCTTCCTTAAAGAAATACAAATACGAAGATAATACAGCATTGCAATTCTCGAAGGAACAATTTTATCACAAAGACTGCTTCAAACTTTTGTACCGTAGCGTACATAAAAATATTTCTCAACATTAACTGAAATAAGAACAATTTTTCTTTTGCATGTTTAATGTATTTAGCGAAGTATTTTTATTAATATTTTCAAGAGATTTATATTCAATATTATACGTGAATGCTTTCAAGTATTTTGCTTAATTAATCAGGAAATTTTGTTAATACTTTTCTAATACATTTTTCTTGTACTTAGCCGGTAAAATTATTCCTTTAAGGATTAATATTGCGAAACTGGTATGTTTTAATATCAATATAATGTACATTTTATGACTGACAAAATAATACGTTTGCGTAACAACATCTTACTTTCAAATATATGTATACATTGTAAGTGCATTTATTGTGATTATTAGAAGAAAGCATATATAAAAGATTAGAACTTTCTTAAACAGTGATAAATGCAATAATTGTTCCGTTGCGAATACAAACTTTACAAATACTACAAGTTGTAACCATAATTTTTTATCCAGCTCAATCCTTCTATTGAAGATGCTTTCGGGCGATACTCCAAGCCCACGTAGTCATGATACCCTTCTTTCTCTAAAGTAGAAAGGACATACTTATAATTTATTTCGCCTGCAGTGTCAGGTTCATGTCTCTCCGGTACTTGAGCAATTTGTACATGTCCTACAAATTAAGTGAAAGTATAAGAATTGAAATAAATGCATATGTAAAATAAGGCTCGTCTACCTATATATGGGAACAGTTTCTTAATATTATTGGTAATATTGCCACAAATATGTTGCATGTGGAAAACATCCAGTAAAAGTTTTAAATTTGGGCTATTTATCTTTTTTATTACGTCCAAGCCTGTAAAAATAATTTCACGTCAAGGATAAATTAATTACGTCAAAAGTATGGTAATAATTACCCTTTTGATAGCTATTCATATAATAATTCGGAACAGTGATACTGTTGATTGGTTCTATAACACCAACAATTCCTTCTTTGCTGAACCTATCAGCTGCATATGAAAGATTCTTTACATAAACATCATCATTAGCAGACGTTACTTCATTCACTTTGCCTGACATTACATGTATCCTACAAAACAATGAATTAGATCATGATTTCTGATTAATACAATTAAACTTATTTACTTCTTGCAATTCAGAGCTTTTGCATATTCAATCGTCAAGTCAATACTCTTTCGAAAATTCTCTTCTTCTCCAGGTATTGCTGCAAATCCTAACTCTCCTTTAGACACATCACCTATTCACAGTAATAACATTAAAATCAAATTTAGGAAGTTGTACTTTAGTTAAATCAATTGGAATTATTACATACCTGTGTAGACATTTATAAGAATTTGTTCGACACCAGCATTCTTTTTTGCTTCTGACACTTCTTTGATAGAGAATCCAAAAGGAAATCCACTTTCTACAGCTTTAAAACCAGCTTCTTTTGCCAATCTGTATCTTTCAATGATTGACGGTGTTTCCAAGAACATGAAGGATAAATTGGAAGCAAATTTCACACTCATGTTGTTCGAATTATGTTAAACTTAGTTATAGCAGTTGATGACAGTACTATAAATCACTTAATTCCACTTACTTCTGATATTATATAAACTTTCTTATCATCACTTGAACAAGTTTTGTTTATCTTTAAGATTCGAAGTTATATCAGACACATTTTTTACATTAGTGAACAGATAACACTCAAGGTAAATTGAGTTGGAAATTTATTTGATACGTAATTTGTTGTTGGTTACTTATCACTAACCTCGACAATAAAACGCATATTAAATAAAAAATTGAATTACTCTCGAAATTAATTTAATTCTCTTAATTAAAAGTAATTTAAAACTTGTCGCTGTAAAATGAAGGCGAAATTTGAATAGCTATGATAATTTTTTGGCATGTTTCTCTCACTATTATTATATTTGCTGCAATGATTATTCTTGCTATTTAATTGGGATTTTATTACATGTACGTGTTGAAGGAATTTGCGTTCAAGGAAAAATATAAAATAGTATTTCAATATAATTTATCGTTAAATTCATTAAAAAAGCTGTAGAACATGTAATGCAGATTTTCTTTACAAATAGATACTGTTTAACATGAAACGTAATGCACTGATAGCAATGTTATAAGTTAGACGTAAGAAATAATGAATAATTGAATAATTCTGTTTATTTTCATCACTCGTCGTCATCGCGAACTCCACCGCCGGGCATTTTTGGTCCACCCGCACGTTTCGCCATAATAATTTGATCAATCTTAAGTATGGTGCACGCAACACCAACAGCATATTTTAAACCCCACTGTTTCATTAAGAACAAGTCTAAAATTTGGGCATCCAGCGCATCTATAAGTCCTGCCTTTTGCTGTAAAACAATTTTTCATTAATACGCGTTATCATACCAAGTTGTAATCAATAAAACTTGGTTGTATACCTCGATGTCGAAACCGCAATTTTTCTTCCCTTCCTTATGCGCAGCATATAGTTTCGACAAAAGTTCGGACGCGTAACTTCCGCTGTTTTCCGCCAAAGTTTTTGGGAACATTTCTAGTGCCGTTGCGAATTTCCGCACTGCGTAATGTTCTAAACCTGATAATGTATCCGCGTACACACTAAGTTGCGCAGCGAGTTCAATTTCAGTAGCGCCTGCTCCAGGAACGAATCTCCCGTCTCTCGTTATTCCCTTGAACGTATTCACTCCGTCGTCGATAGCGCGTTCGATGTCATCCATGTAATTGTCAGTTGATCCTCGAACGATCACAGTACTGACGCGGCTATCTTTGCCATGTAATGCAAATTTCACGACTATGGTGTCTCCAACTTCATCGATATATACTGTATCAGCGTATCCTAATTCTTCCTTCGTTGGTGGGGTCTTTAAACAAGCAATCCAGTTAGATACATATCTGCTAACAGTGAAATTCTAATAAAATAAAATAATATACCAGTTTCGGCAGAGCGGTAGCTCCAACAGTTTTGCATAATCTCCTAACATCGAATTTGCTAGGTATACGAACAGCCATTAAATTATACTTGTTCATATAATGCAATGTCATATCACCAAACTTTCCTCCAGAGACGATTACATTAGCTCCACTGTCGGCCATTGCTTTTATTTGAGATTCTAACATGGATTCCTCTCCTCTGGAGAATTTCATCAGTTCATCTGCGGTCTTGATTAAAACTGTTCCTTTCGTCTCGGTCTGCACAATGTCCACGGCACAGGTGTAGACAGCAATTTTCGCATTCTCTTTCTTAGTCACATCTCCTTCAACATGCCGTTTGAACACCATTCCCTGTACCACTTCAGAGTTGGATAAACCACATCCGAGTATTTTGCAAACGCGTACATTATCCACATTGAAGGTGGTGTTTTCTGGCAAGATAGACACACAAGCCTTTGCGACAAGGGAAGTGAGGACATCTTCATTTCCATATTGTTTGCTCATGATAGATGACTTAATTCCTACTTTCACTTGGTTCTCATCTCTATAATCCTTCACCTCGTAACAAACTAACGATGGTAATATCTCCAAAACTTTTTCTAACGAGGCTTCATATCCTTCAACTATCTCAGATGTAGTAATACCCTGTTAAAGAGAATATTTATATTCTTTAATATGTACTTACATTGTCTATTAAGTAGTGTTAAAAATAAATTTTCAATTTTTACCAAACGAAGTAACTCTTCTGCAGCTTCTAAGAGAGCTCCAGCAAAAATGACGACAAAGTTAGTACCATCCCCAACTTCTGCTTCTTGCATTTTTGATGCTAAAACTATTAATTTAGCAGCTGGGTGTTCAACTTCTAGTTCGTTAATGATCGTAGCTGCATCACTGGTAACAAACAGTTTTTCAATGTGGTTGATCACCATTTTGTTCATCCCATTTGGACCATAAGCAGTTCTCACAGTTTGAGCAAATTCCTTGCACGCTGTTATATTCCTATATACAGCTTCCTCTAGGCCTGAGAAATACTGATTCAAACAAGATTTAAATTAGTTATGAACATTAGTAATTTAATATTTTTTTATTGCTTATAATTTGATAATCATTATTAACAAGAATAACTGGTAAATGGTAAGTTATTGTAAATGACTTTGAAAGTTGCACGTAATTAGACTGACAACTTAGAAGCCATCAACCGGTCGCAAATCACGTGAAGATGAATCAAACTTAATAATTTCTATGGTCTTAAAAGGAAAGCATCTTTTATTTTAGATTAAATACCGTATGTAAAGAACAAATATATTATGCCCATAAAAGGTAATGTTTGATACAACGTTGAGTCGTACTCTATTTGACGAAGAAATATCTTTCGGCCACGATGCGATAGTTTACGAATACCTATCAGAAAATATTTAGCACTTACACGTGCTCCGTCTTTAAGCATTTGGGACATGCCCGGTGCTTTTGGTATGTGCATAGCCATGATCTTTTATCAAAATTAAAAGATATTTCTCACGTGTAATTCACTATTCGTGATCAACCCGCAAAACTTCAATTTTCCGTCAAAAACGATCAAGTATCGAGATCCTTCTTCAGGTTTAGCTCTCAGAGTGACATCTTTGCGCAATAATCATAATTTTCTTTTGCTATATAACAATTTGATATTTCTTTTTGGACTTAAATATTAAGTGCGGAAGCATCGACTAAATAAATAATAGCGACTTATTCGAAATATATACAAAATATATTATAATTATTGAATGAAGTGATTCATGAAAACCAAGCTTGAGGGATGTGCTCATAAACTGATAAGTGGTAAAAATTAGAATCAGTTAGAATAATACACGAAGTATCGAAGTATCTGAATCTTCAGAGCGTTATTAACGGAAATTATTAATTAGTAAGTTGAATCTCGTATAATCCTTATAATAGTAATGGACCGAGTAAACTTGAAAGTTTCTATTTTATTTGAAAGCACTTGGTAAGGAATTCTGTTTTCTTCAACTGTTATGGATATGGTGACCACGAATTTGCAACAACAACGTCAAATCACGGAGCAGCTACGCCGTGAAGCTGCTATAAAGCGAATTACGGTCAGTAAAGCAGTGGAGGATATTATGAAATATATTACGGAGCACGAGCAGGAGGATTATCTTTTGGTTGGTTTCTCATCTCAAAAGTCGAATCCCTTTCGTGAGAGGAGTTACTGTACCCTTTTTTAAGCTCTCATGCTTAAAATGAGGACCAATCATCATTTTAATTTTCTTCATAAACCATTACAATTTTGATATGTATTTAACTTATTATGTTATCAGAACAATGTATTGAATCTACTTATTTGTATTCAAGCATTCATTTAATTGATTCAAGTCATTTTGCATTTTCACTTTAATTTTTGTTCAATACAAACATGAAAGAATATTATTTGTACATTTGGAATTTATATTTGAAGAATCGTGGCCAGATTGATGAAGATTCTACTATTGTGATTTTATTGGCCTAACATAGCATAATAGAAAGCACAGAAGGTTTCTATATTATACATACATTTATACATAAATATAAAATGGTATTTTGTACAGTGTTGATCTTCCAAAAATGTTTAACATGTTGTAGTATTTTTTACATGCTAAAAGTGACCTAAAAACCTGTTATTTGACAAGTCTATTTTTCATGGTATTTACACGATATAAGATGAAAGTAACTATTTTAAATATGTATGTATGCTTAAAACCAATGTACTTTTGTACAATTTATACTGTTGATTATGGAAACCTGAAGGATATTAAACTAATAATGAAATAAAAAGATATAAAAACATTATTTGTTGTGTCTTCACTACGTCCTATATTTCATTACTAATTATGTCTCAATTATATAAAATCAATGTTCAGGAATTGGCAACAGGTGGTGTTGCGTACATTTTATTTGTGTTATGCAAGCGAAAGCAATATTAAAAATTTGAATATCCCATTTTCCTTAACGAGGCATGAGAACTCGAAATCCGAGTGAATTTTTGTTTTTTTTAGACCGTTTTACCTTCGCGTGCGTTCGCGCGCTTTGTATGTGACATAACCCGGATTCACTATATACCTCTACCCATATTTTAAATAATTTGAGATTAAGTTTGTAAAGAGAATCCAGAACATGTTTTCGATTAATTTGGTAACATTAGACAGTTATCAGTCGACTCCACTGTTGGATCTTGATGTAACATTTTCGGATTTCCGGGGAAACGATATTAGACAAGTTCCAGTTATTCGAATATTCGGATCTACTCCTTCTGGGCTAAAAACATGTCTACATATTCACAGGGTATTTCCGTACATGTATATACCATGCACGATAGATAATAATGTCGACAGTTTCATGTACAAATTAGCAGCAGCAATAGATTCTGCATTGAACGTGTCGTTAGGATCTGCAATGTCTAATACTCAGCATGTCCATAAAATCCAAAGAGTCGCTGGAATTCCTCTTTACGGATATCATGAGAAGCAGCATCTATTCTTTAAAATTTTTTTTTACAATCCAGCTATGATTAAAAGAGCAGCTGATTTATTACAAGTATATATTTACAACTGTCTCTCCCTCTTGTCGTTAAATAATATAAGACTAATGGAAATCTTCTTTCAGAATGGCACAATATTTAATCAATGCTTGCAACCACATGAGGCACATATACCCTTCATTTTACAATTTATGATAGATTATAATCTTTATGGAATGAGCTTAATAAACTTGAGAGATGTCAAGTTCAGACAGAGTACGTATACAGGCTCAAAGGATGGTTCACAAAACGAGAGCTCATCAAATTCGTTTGATTCTCAAAAGTGGCTTCCTTTACATATTGCAAGGCAAAGTTCCTGCAAACTGGAAGTAGATGCTTGCGCATCCGATATACTTAACAGGCAAGAACTTCAGAATGGTTTAGATTTAAATCCAGGCATTGCAGCTATTTGGAACGAAGAAAAGTACAGGAGGGAGGCAAAAGATTTAGATAATCCTGCGTCACAATTATTATATACAAATTCGAATGAAAGAAGTTATGAACCAACAGAGAATGATATTTACCAAAAAGAGAGATTAATAAGAAGATTACAATCTATTTCACAGATCAGTGAAGATATAACACCAGTATCATCAAAAACACTTAGTTATCCCATAGAAGTAGCAGATGAAGATAACTTATTAAATCGGGAAGATCAGAATGAATCACTTTTAGATAATAATTTATTAGAACTTGAGAAAACTGTGACACCAGAAAATTCAATTCATGATACAGCGAATGAGAGTACTATTTTGGATTCTCAAGATATGCAGTTAGTGGAAATGTTAGCAGGCTTAGCAGAGGAAAGTGAGGAAGAAAGGGTAATAGATAATGACAGTATGCTGGGTTCTCAATTTTCTGTCTTAAGCAATCAAATTCAGGAGGATCATGAAGATGATGAACTTGACGATTTAAATATTACAAGTTTAGAGTTAGACAGTCTTAGTTCATGGAATTCAGCTATTGGACCTATCAGTCAAACAAGTATGCCTGAAATTGATCCACAAGTCGCTGAAAACGATAAAGAAATTGACAGAACTATTACTGAAGACTCTTTATCTTTAGATGTCCCTCAACTCGATGGTATAGACGATTTAATTTTAAAAAATGAAGAGCAATCATTGATATTTAATAGAAATAAGACAAGACGAAAAAAGAAAGTGCATAAAAGTATATTGAATGACAAAACTATGGTTACCACACCATTAAACATATTTGATATTAGATTGTCTAAATATTTGAAATTAGATCATGAAAATTTAGATGTTTACGATATAGATGAGATTGATTATACCTCAGACGATTACAAAGCATTAGAACCATCAATATGTTCTAGAACTAATTCTAGTCGAATTAACTTAAATAAATTAAATATACCTGCGTTTGATGGAAATGGTGATGATAGCTCCAGTGATTCTGAGTTAGTTCAAGATATCACTATCAGCAGAGAGGAAAAGCGCATTTGTGTTTATAAGTCATCTACGAGCGGCGAAAACAATGTTGTTAATGGTTCGTCGAAGCGGAAAATAGAATTGAATGATAGCCATTTGGAATCTCCTCGCAAGCGACGTAATATTAATGCATGTGCTTCGCAAAACGAGTCACATTGTACTCCAAGAAAAAAGAAAGTGGGAAGTCCACGATCTGCATCGAAAAACTATTCTCCACTTAATATAAAAATAATATCGCCTAAGATAAATAGAAATGTCGAAAATGATAGACCTTGCAGTTCAACATCTACTTGCTTTACTCCGAAACTAAATGATCAATCCTTAAGAACGAATTTATTTCGTGAAAAAATAAACAGCAATGTTTCAGAAGAAACTAAAGGTAAGAGATGCATGTTTATCGTTCAAGATGTATTAAACAACTAATTATTTTTTCAGCATGCTCGACGCGTAACAAAGTTATAAATATTAATGAGACGTTTATCATCGAGAAACACAATTCCAGGTAAGGCAAACAAGATTATATTCTGGTTTTACTTAAAGATGTATTGGCTATACAGTCAATCCCAAAAGTTTATGTACCTTAGAAAAATGC